TAAATCATCATCATTTCTCATAAATGCAACATTTAATAATTCAGTTAATTTCATTAAGAATACAATAGACTGATGGATACAAACACATTTCCAAACATAGTCAGTTGGTGGTTCAGAAGCTAAGACATTAATAAAATAAAAACCTTTAGTACTATCTATCCAAGTTTTAAAGACTTGATTAGATTTTTCAAAGATCATATCAGTTACAGTTGAATCATTTGTTGAAAATCCATCTAAAAATGACTCAGTAAAAGCAGCGACATTATCTAAGCAACCAATAATCATATAATTTTCTCCTTGATAACGAAGTATTTTGTCTTGTACTTTTAAAGTTCTACAAGAGATATCACTTGGATTTATAATTTGAGATAGTTTAGTAATAAGATCAATAACATTAGTTGAATCATTTAAAGCAACAAACGTTTCAATTTTAATAATTTTAAGCATTTCATCAAATCCACAAATATATAAAGTACTAAAATACATTTGAAAGAAGGTGGATCTTATTTTATGTAATTTTTCAAATGTTCCATTTGAAATTGTTTGTAACAGATCAATAGTTTTAATATATCGTTCTTCAAATTCTTTATATTCTTCTCTTTTAATATTTCTTAAATTTGCATATGATAATAATAACATTGAATATTCCATTATTGTTTCTTCAATTCTTTCATTTATTTTTAACATTAATTCATCACTTTCAATTACCTTTTCTTCTTTTTTAACTTCTTTATAAACATCAAATACAAGAAATGCTCGTAATTCCATTTCTCCAAATTTATTTAAAATATTAAAGAAATAATTACTAAATTCTTTTACATTTAATTTCATTATAAAGTTTTTTAAATTATAATTTCTTTCTAATGGTAATTCAATATCATTTTGTTTAGTCATAGCTAATGTTAAATATTCTTCTTTCTTTAAAAACTCTAATGGTAAACATGCATAACAAATGTCTTGTCTTATATTTTCAATACTTTTTAAATACTTCTCAATAAATCCTTCCATTTTAGTACTTCCAACAATTGTTTTAAACAATCCAATTAACTGTGGCATTAAGTCTTTAAATTCTTCTTTAATTGTTTTTCTTTTTAAATCATATGTAACTTCATCTACTAATTGAATTCTATTAAATAATTCAAATACAAATTTTTCTGGATTTTTTAAAAACTTCTCTAGTTGAGACCTTGTTTGTTTAAGATAAAAATCACATTTACTAATACATCTAATTCCTGCTAATTTACAGTCAATAACATCTAATGCCATTTCAATTTTTTGAATTGCTTTTTTGTATTCTTTTTCTTCAACTAAATCTTGTACTTCATTTACAGCTGAAATAACTTCATTTATTGAATGCATTTTATCAATAACAATTCTTATATTTTGATATTTTTGATATTCCTTCATATTTCCTAACATTAACCATCTTACATTCTTTTGTGTTTGTTTTAATCTTTCAGATAATGCACACATATCTTCTTTAATTTTATCAAATGATTCTTCTAAATCACTTACACTAGCAAGTGATTCTAATAACGTAAATTTTTGTTGGTCTATTTCTTTCATAATCATTGTATCGACAATTTCTCGATAATTTGTTGCCCTTTCTTTTGCATAAGCAAAGTCTAGTTGAGATTGAGTTGTTGGTGAAAAGTCATTTTTCTTTTTACAGAACTTTAAAATTATGTCAAATGTTTGTTTACTTGACATATCCAATGGATGTTCAACTAGTGTCTTTGATAATTATTAATACCATTCCTTTTTAAATCAAATATATTTAAAAAGAAAGTAAAATAAAACAAACATCCCCAAATTCGTATTTCATAATTTCTTCAAATACATCTGTTTTGTCTTTGGTGACTTCATTTGTAAATGTATCTTCAAATTGTTGAAATATTGATATGTTTTTCTTTGATAATTTTGTTGTATATAACTGAGGAATACTTTTCTCTTCTGATGAATAATCACTAACTCCACCACTTATTTTTGGCTCATTTAGGGGAATGTCTAACGATAAACTTTTTTTCTTTTTTTCTTTCATTTGTTCAGCAAATGGGTATAATTGAACTGCAAAATGGTAACGAGTTTCCTTGATTGGCTCTCTTTCTTCCATTTTTGCTTTATTTTTAAGTTTTTAAGTTTTTAGTTTTTCAATTTATTTAGTACTAGTTTTATTAATTAATTATACTAGTTATCATGGATCAACACTAATATACTTGTTTCTTGCTTATTCATTTAATTCATATTGACTTTGCAAAGTAATGTTTGAGTTTTATTTTATAAGAAGTATACCATCTGCGCTTTAAGTAGTTTTCTTCAATTTATTACAATAGATATTAACTTGTTATCTAAAACATAAAAAATATCTTTTTATATTTGTGTTATTTGTTTTAGATATTGTGTTATATTAGTTCAGTTTTTTAGATAGAAATTAGTTAATTAAGTATTAATAGAACTAGTTCTATTGTTCATTCATTGAATGAGACTAATCCAAATGAGTCTTCTTCTTCAAGCAGCTCTACG